AAAATCTTATTAGATTTCACGACACTGACTGATTTTACTTCTGTGATGCAAGATATAGAGATTGCTAAGTAGTACTTTCAAGTTTTCTTTAAGATATGGGTTTAAACGTGACAACCTTTCCATAGCTCTAATGGTGATATCATTGTATCCCATAATAGCGCACAATGTAGGAGACAATAGGTATGTTGTTTTTGAACCTTTATCCTTATTTTCTCATTGTTTCCTCATTGTTTGTATGCTAGCTACCTAGTTTTCTTTCTTTACTGCTTATTCTTTTTTGAAGACTTTATCACCAACCATTGCGCTTCTTATGGACAAATGCCGTGGAACCGCGATTGCTTATACCAATGTGCCGTAAGAAGAACAAACCACTTCAGTGCGATGTAGAAATTAAATTTAAGGCAAGTAAGACATTACGTAAATGGTTTTTATTGATTTATGTGTGTAGTTATGCATAAGTGATTAGTATGTATGATCTTTTTATCTGACACGTTTCTGTTGATTTCATAGTTCTATTCAGTGTTCTCTTTATGAGTTTCATTTCACTAGCACGACACCTCTTTTTCCTCTTTACCGTTTTCCTTTTTTAAAAACTTTACGATCTTTTTAATTTTCTACTCTCCGCATCCGTGGAATCCACAATTACATCTTAGTTTGAGATGTTGCGTTGATAAATTACTGCTATGTCTTCATTATTATTATATTACCTTGATATAATAATGTAAATAATCTGGAGGAAATGTTTTCATAAAACTCACTTTCCACTTTCAATTCCAGAGTTTGAAAAAAAATGCTTTGAGGAGTTTTATGATGAACCGTAGTAAGCTGGAAGAAGCGTAATTAAATTTATTGACATCTGCTTAATTGTCATCAAATGAGAGGATTATTGGCGAAAGAATTAGTATAAATGCATATTTTGATTCTAGTCAAGTTTTATGAAGCAAATAGTAAAAAATAATTTAAAATACTCAGTACTCAGGGAAATTGTTTGGTAAGTTTTGTCTAACGTTTTGTTAAAGGATCCGTCATTACGTCCGTGTTTCTGTTCCGCTCCTACAATCCTCCCTCCTATCGATGACTTGTCTATGATAGCGTTAAGTGGTGCAGGAATTGAAAAGATTGGTTTCGATCTAAAAAATGAGGACAGAAAACGTGATTTTGTCGAGATTCTTACTGCAGGACATGGACGAGTGGCAGTTACGGTAACTGAGAGGTGATCAAAACTATAGATAAGTTTGTTATGTACCTTATTTTACGCGGGAATCATTAAAATCTTTTTACAGTTGTCTTGATGACCATGAATTAGCGCAACAGAAAGATTGGACATTACAGCAAATATTTGATCACCGATTAGAGCGACCAGGTTGCAAAGCAATAAAACTATCAAAAGAACGCGAAAGAATGGAAGCGGTATGTTTTTTTTTCTCCTCGTAGGTCTTCCAATCATGTGAATCCGATATCCGTAAAAAATGGATTACTAATTATATCATACTTGAATAATCAGGGTACTTCTGGAATTACTTCATTTAGAAGAGTTTAATTGTTGTTGCTTATTCTTTGTGACTTGTAAACCGTCTTGTTTCTTACGTTTGAGAGCTAATCATGTCTGCATTTTTTTTGTTAGTGTATTTTGAGCACATGAATCTCAGACTCATCCATTGCAATTTTTTTTGTCACAAGATTCTCAGTGTGTTTCTAATCAGAAATTTATTAAGATTTACGTTATTAAGATTGGGTTCAAGTTTTCAGTCCATCCAGATTGGGTTCAGATTACGCCTGAGGTCCCAAACTTAGCGATCATTAGGGATATGAGAGCAAAACTATTATGACGTATTATTAGTTGGTAGAACATAAAATTGTCACTAGCTTAGTTTGATATCTTTGATTAGTGTTTTCTATTTTACCATTTCTGAATAGTTGTCGTAAGTGCTTTTCATTCACATGAGGAAGATCTGTAAATGTGTACCAAAAGGAGGTTCCTGTCAATAAAATTCAAAAATCGACACTTGTTAGAAAAGCGGTTGAATATCGTAAATTATTCTATACTGTTCGTTACACTCATCCCATCTGTATTGCATTACAATAGTGGAGAATATTGTAAAATTATAGAAGCTTAGGAAATTCAAACCTCAATTTGCTGGTGGTCATGTACTTTTGTCAACCGTTATAGTCTAATTGTTATAGCTTTCTATATTTGGATACTGATTGTTTTAGTCAAATCACGTGGGTGGAGACTTACGGTGGCGATCAATTGATAGTGCTCCTGCGATTCGACAATATCTTAAGACTCTGCATATGGTAAGGTTGATGTTTGTCCATAAAGAGAACACTGATTGCTTCTCTTGCTTTAAGGACAGATTCAAGACACTAATTTACATAAATAGGAGATTCCACAATCCGATTTTCCTAGTCTGTCTTGTTTTCAACAGTATATTTAGGAGATTACTAGCTCACCACAATCACTCGCTTCGTTCGTGGTTGATGACGTGAAACTAGCTTCGTGTGTAGCTAAATTCATTGGCAACACCAGCTTGGCAAATCGACTTGATATCGAAGGCCAACGTCTGGAGCATGCGAAGTCAACGTAGCCTTTTCCCTTTGTTCTCTTTGTTACTATGTTATTTATTTGAGTAATTTTGCGTTCAATTGTTTACTAGCGTACTACTATCACAATCTCTAGTCGCTTATCAACGAGGGCGTTAACAAATTGACTCAAAAACGTGATTCTACCATTATGTTGTTGTTGCTCAGTATTTTAATTAAGCATAAATGCCAATGTTCTCTTTGATGATTTCATTTGGACATGTTTTCTTTGTGGCTCTCATGTTGTTTACTTTTGTCTAAATTCTTAGCATTTCGTTATATTAGTGATGCTTGAAGATGTTTTTTCCGATGATATTTATTCTCATCCAACAAGATGTAGAAGTTTAATTATTTTTCAGACTTTCTAAATATTATCATATTTTTCAATCGGGTATATACAATGTATATCTATATCGTAGTTTTTATATTTCTTGCAATTGTCCTAAAGCTTTTTAAAAATGAACTATTCGGGTATATAATTGTTTACATTTAATATTTCTTCCTGCAGGTTTCCTAGTGATTATCGATTAATGAATGATTATCGTATGGGTGATTATCTGAGTTTTTACATAGCCTCTATTGTTTTTGTCTAACTTTTTTTTTTCACTTTTTTCATTGAAAACAGGAGTGAAAATGGTGTGGAACCTTGAAGTTGCTTCTATTACGCGGAAACGGTAGAATTTTGTCAGAACGTCACCAGTGCAATTGTCTGAACCTCGAGGCTTTTACATACCAGTAATGCCTACATTCTTTAGTATTTGTATGGTCCGTCACGTGAACTGCTGCTACCAGCAGCCATTCTTCTCGTTTCCATCTGGCACAATTCATGTCGTTCATGGTGGTGGTTTTCTGCGAAAATGGCGAGATTGTCGCAGACCATTTCATGGTGATGAATTCGTTGACAGATGCTGATACAGCTTTTTAACATTTGATTCGAACACGTACGCCCTTCTTGCAAGTGGTTACACAGTAAAACGTTGGCATTCTCTTGGGCGCCATTCTACAGTTCTTTTTTTACATTCGTCGTCATCTCTCTTCATTATATGACCCCAGGCAATATTGTTTATATGTGCAGCAGGATAGTTTTTGTGAACAGCTTGTAATGTACAGTCAACTGCCCAATCACTCGGTTTTGAATATCCTTTCGGCTCCGTTTCATACGAAGAAGCACTGTACACAATATGTTCAACTGATCTGGAGTTTTCCAATTGTGAAGCTGTCTTGTCATATGGAGTGCAAGAGGTGCATGTAGTTTGTGACCACGAGCTCGAAGGAATTCAGCATTTATCGCAATCTGGATTTCAGAGAAAAGACTGCAATGGTTTACCTCTGCATAGTATTTCAGCGTCTGCCAAAGAAATCGTGAAACGAAAAACATCGGTCTCAAACTTCTGCGTTATCAATTCCATATCATGGCGCGAAATAGTCGGCATACCGTATCCGTTAAGTGACGTTTGCAGAGGAATACGGTAATCACGAAAGCCCCGACGGCACTTCTTTAGACTAATACGTTTTTGATCTGCTTCCAATAATCATTCTTGTTTGTACCGCTTCAAATCTTTTTGCAACGATCTGCAATCTTATCAGTCGTATCTGACGGGCTTTAGTTGGATCTAGCATCAGTGTTCTTCTTGCTTCGAATATTTTCTCGGTTGTCTCAGCAATGCGTTGAGAACGTCTTAATTGAGAGACAAATTCGTCACATTTCTGCAGTCCTTCCCCAAACAACTCATCGTCTTGGGTTGGGTCTTCTAACATCTGCCAGTCATGTATACTTGAAAACGTTTCCATCGCAAATGACATCATTTCTTCTTTTCATGCAATGGCAGATTTTCTTCTCTAGCTCTCTGCAAGAACAAATTTTTTGTACGGAGGTTTCAATGATGTATTGTAGAACGATGATACTACTGAGGTATAGAGAAGACATTTTCTAATGTTATTGAAAAAAAATCTACGTCAAATCAAGCCTCAAGAGAACAACGTTTATAAATATATTCATTGAGTTCTCTTTAGAGTTGAATTCATTCGATTTTAATTTTATACTTTATATTTAATTTTAAAGTCTTTTATAACGATCAGCTGATTGAGGATCCTCTTTCATATGAATATTTCCAGTATTTTATCTACTGTAATGCTCTACCACTGCACCGTTGTCTGTGAATGTTGTATTGATTACTAAATTCCTTATTGCATCCATCTATCTGAACTATAATAACCTGTTGTTTATTTATTTTTTTATTTTCTATACGACTATTTAACTATTCAGTTGGATTTTAATTATGTGAAACATTCAATATGTTAATGTGTTAAGTTAAGCATAAAATCAAACCCGCTTTATATACGACGCATCTGCGTGGCCACATTTGTTCAAAAAGTTGGTCGTCTTGTGGACTGTGGCTAGTAACAGATGACATGTGTGGCTATGATGAAACAGTTCCCATTCGCAGTTTCCACTGAATTTTCATGAAGCTTAAATCCTTCCTTGGATGTCTGAGCCAATATAGGAGTGAGTGGGTTATGGGGATGAGGGATGATGAGTGTAGAGCACATGGTGGTGTGTTGTCTAAATAAGACCTCAGTCCTGATTTCATTACTAATAGTAACTGCATAGAATGAGTCCGCGATAACGTTTCTACTCACTTTTTCTGATTTTATTTTAAATCATATTGCGTGCGGAACTTTGTGATTCGTTGTCAATCAATACTTTATTGATTTTAGGTATTCCACTTCAGAACGTTCATTTTTTGAGAAGAAACATTGTTAGATTCTATGCAGAGTATTTTTAATATTATTTGGAGCTGTCAGTACAGAATATCACAAATAGTTTTATTAGTTTCGATCCAATCTATTTAGAATTCGATGAACTCTCCTGAACGTCTGCACTTTTTATTTCGGAGATATTCGAGGAAAATCCTTAATCTCTCATCTCACTTCCTAGAAAGGTGAGTTGAGGTTCTTCTTGTTAGCTGATAGTTAGTTCAACTCATTTTTTATTTAGCTTTGTTAGCAAAAGATGCAAGCGTCAGCTTATTCTTTATTAACTGACATTTCAGTCGTATTCATTCTTTGGTAATTCATTTGTAATGTTTTTTTTTTCTCTTGGCTATAATTTGTACAATTTCCTCATTATTGATCTATAAAATGATAGAAAATTATTACAATATTATTCTGTTATCTTCTGTTAGGTTTTTAGACGTAAACAATAAACAAAACAATGCTAAACGAATGATAAACAAATATTTTTGTGAAATTTTGAGGCTCAGCTTTTTTTAAAGACTTCCCTTCTTCTACACGTGAAATATCGTTTTCAGTTGCTCATTTTTGATCTACTCAATCTCTTATGTCATAGTTTTCTCAAAATCGGAAAGAGATCGTGAGATTTTCTCTTGAGATCAGTTCAAACATCAAAGAAAAGAAAATCCCCATGCTTGTAATTAGTCAACAATCTTCAGCCAATCCTCAGAATTGTACTAATTCAACTCAATCGCAAGCGAGGTGTATACGATGTGAACTGCTATTATTTCAAAAATTAGCCATACGAAAAAAATACAGTTACGCCTCCTACAGTTATTTTTATTTATTTCATTTAAACTTTGTTAGGTTATGATAATTTTGTTCTTATAAGATGCTAAGTCAATCGCAAAACTCGGAACCTCAGGCGGTAGTTGAAACATGGGACTGATAGAACCCTCCAGTGTCCCTTATTATTTCTTAGCCCAAAAAATGAATAAAATGTCGTATAAATTCTCAGTGATCGTCCCCTCTAAAGAGCGAGCGCTGATTGGAACCGCGCATTTGTAGAAGAAGGTTCGAGTCTCGCCTGAGGTTTCAAGTTTTGCTTTTCACTTAGCATGATCAGTGATAAATTCTCAAACCTCTAATGTTTTGGTAATATTTTAAATGAAATTTTATAGAGCAATGAAAGAACGTCATTACGTAGATGACTCTAGATTGAACTCACATAAGCAATGCTTCCCCAACATCGGGTGTCCATGAGGTTTAATTAGTAAGGTTGCAACCGATTTATAGACACTGATCACCTCAAGTTAATGTATCAATCAGACTCGCATGAACTCATCTTCCACTATATGACAATGATGTTCCAGCCAAGCTTAACATTTTACTTAGCGCCATACAGCTTTCGTTCATTTTATGGTAAGTGGCAAGCTTACTACTATTTTATTGTAACTTTGCATTCACTCATAAGTTATCTTCTGCAAGTAAAGAAAAAAAATTAACGAAACAACTCGAAAAACGAGGACTTCATTGATCATTCAAGAACAATTCATGTACTTCAAGAAGAGTAAACCATTTGAGTTTATGTGGCCTATGATGTGATTGATTCCTCTGTGAGTTCTTCTATGGCAGTTTCGCATGAGGTAGACGATCTGAAATTTGAAAGTAATACTCAAGGTAAAGCCCTATTCAGTTATAGAAGAGAATCATCCTTAAACGTTAAGATTCTACTTTTCATGAGCTTAAAGCTGTCACTACTTTCCATTGATTGAAAACTAGTAATATCTTTTTCGCATTCGCCCCTTTTAGAATCAGATTGATTCAATACAAGCACCGACAAAAGCTGATTATGTCGGTTGTTGAGGTGATTTTGTGATTGTTTTGAGGTAAATGATCATATCAACTGAATTAATTCAACGAATTATTGATAACAAGCTTTTGGTAAGCTTTTTTATGAGAAAAGTTCGTATCGAGTTAATTTCCGGTCATCGTAAATGAGTCGTTTTTAAAAAACTCATTCAAACGATTCCAACGTACTCGGAGGAATTCAACTCTTCGAAATTCGATGGCATGTAAACTGATCTGCAATCGTTTTTGGTTATTCTCAGCTTTCCATAGCCATTTATCTTTCCGAAATCTTTCACTACTTAGATAAATCGAAAAATCTTAGCGCACTTACGAGCCACTTATTAAATCATTATCTGGTCTTATTGGTAGATTAGCGTTTGGTCTGAAATGTTACGACGCAATAAGTTTTTAGCTTTTTTCGGCATGAAAAGAATTTACCTCATTTTTTGTAATCGTATTAAACTTAAATGATGAGGTACACTATATGTTCTAATCTGTTACCAGATTATGTCATTGATTTATGTGCTCAAAAATAGGAATTAATAATCATTATTATTATGATAAACGACTTTATAGGACAAATATTCAGTTTTGAAAATTCTTTGATCTTTAATCGAGGAAAAAAATCAATAAAGCTCACTTCTCGTCCAACATTAATCGTCTAATACTAACTTCAACAGCATCGTAAATATCATCATTTTCACGAAACATATTAAATATTTCTTTAGATGTCATTTTTCTGAAGACATTAACAATTTTATACAGACGTCGATAATGATTACCGTCTTCAGATTACTCAACATCATTATGAATTCTATACTTCTTCTTCAAACTACAGTACGATAATATCTTTTCGTCATAATCGGTAGTACGACGGCTTATGATCATCATGTAACATAAAACAAGCGATAAAACACTAGAAAACCTCTAATTACCTCACTAATGACTCATAACTAATGAGCATAATCTAAAGACGGATTCTAACCTCTGTAAATAGGGTTACAAACGAATAAGCACACAAGAACTAACCCGTAATCCATGGTCGTCAACAACAATGAACCCTATTGAGGACTAACCAGCACAAGAGGGGCTTTGTAACTGTTTACTTCTGATCGAATCACATTTATCAGTATTTATTATTGTGTACAATCACTTTATATCTTTTAAAACGAATCCTCATTCAAGGAGAATGGTCGAGAGATTTTATCGTTTTTCCTCAATATCGCTATTAGTTTTCATGGTCTCAATTTTACTGTGAGGGATATAATCCCAATATTTTAATGGAAGGCATCTGATGTCGTACTTGAGACAGCCGTCACTCTTCCAAAGCGATACGTTTACACTCCCAGTTTATTCTGTTGTCAATGTTCCAGCCACAGTGCGCTGAAAGCCTTGGTTTCCTGATCGTGGATTAGAACCTGAGTCCACAGATTTAGGTATGCGTATCACTGCAGCGTCATACTACCACTGCGCTTCGTGCAATCAAATTTCGCCATCTGGTTCATAGAAAACAATGAAAAAAACCGCAATATTCTTTTGTCAAGTCATTTTTTGAGTGTGTTTTTTGGATACTCAAGAACTACAAATAAATACGAGTTTCTGTGATCTACTACTTTTGCAACAACTATAAGTTACGGTATGTTAGTAGAATTGGCGCGATATTGATATATTTTTCGTTATAGTACGTGTTTATGTGGCCTAATTTAAAGTGTTTGCCAGATAGATGTAGAGCTTCCGCAGTGGTGAAGGTGCTACAGTGTCACGCAGTCCCGAATCAGGTTCGTAGCTGCCCCTCTCAGGTCTACCAAGTCCACTATCAGTTCGGAATTGTCAAATTGGTACCAGAGAAATCTAGGCGAGATTATTAGCACTGACTCGGTGAAGAGTGGATAACTCAAGTCACTCTGTAGACCAGGCTTACATTAATCCATTTCCACGATATCGCGTTAAATATGAAAACGCATCCCACAACAGGGATTGATCAACGTCAAAGCTATGCTTCTCTAGCTGATTATAAGCAAGAAGATTAACTTTTAATAAAAACCTCAACATTAATGTAAGAAATATTCAACGACTAATATTCTTAAGTGAACTGGCATTTTTTTCTTTTCCAGTTATGTTCCTCAACTCCTCATTTGTTTTGTGTAATATTTAATAACGGAATTCGTATAAGAACAAGTTTTGAGTATTCTCATATCCTGTTAGATTACTATGGGATTCGTCTTATGATGGTAGAAACAATATTATGTTAGTGCTTATTTGTCAAAATTGCAATGTTAGTTCATATTATAATTAACTGCAGTCATTCTATTGTGCTCACAGATGATCTACACAATGGATGATCTACTCGATATTCGTGGGCTTAAAATTAGTCTTTGGTCACATGATCTTTGTTCATTTTCGGAGAGTATGTTCAATTTTCATAACGACCGCCTGCCTATATGAGTACACGTACGTGTCCACGTATGTGAAACTGGCGGCGATTTCTCATAACTGTACCACGCCCATTCATCGCCACACCTCAGACCACGCCCATCGGATGATTTAAGATTATCGTTGATATTGTGCTGACATATTTGTCGATTATCTTCTACGAAACGAATGTCACTATCGCGTACCGTCATGCATAAATTGCAATTTGCTCGTGGTATTGGACAACGTGAAATGATTCGTGCCAACACATTACCAAGTATTACAAGGGCAAAGGTCATCATTATTCTTTTATAACTGCTAAAATTAAATCAATATTCTAATTTATGATATCGATTAATACTATTTGATATCGATTTTTTTTCCTCAAATAATAGTAAACAATAAGAAGAAAAACCGCTGCATTATAACGTTGATGTTCGTAATGTTAGGCATTGAATTCTATCAATAGTCCTCATTTATGATCTTCTTCATTTGTTTACCA